TATATATATATATATATATATACAAACCATGAAACCCACCTCTTCTCTCTCTAAAAAGTGGAAACCCACTGTTCTTCTTGAAATTAAAAACCCGTAAACTGCTTGGGCCCTCCTTTACATATGTATACTCAGAATTTTTGTGAGGGAATATCCGAGAAATTATACCCTTATTTTCTATTTAAGAAAGAGGCCAAAAGCCCTAATGCATAGCTCCTTATTATTTTAATGAACTTCTGTGCTTAAAAAATGAATCCATGCTCTGATACATTTTGAATTCGTGAACTCCAGCTTTCGCGAGCCACTACCGGCGACGTACTACTCCTCTGTGACGTCACTGCAACGACACTGTGACACTGATTCCCCCACCTCACCATCGGTGCTGACCACGCCGTTGCCCATTCAACGTGACGTGCGTGGTTGCTAACTCTGCTGGCTTCGGATTGTTCAACGCCACTCACACATGCCGCCCTCTCAACGCGTCGTGTGTGGTTCGGCCTAGCACGGTTTCGGTGATATATTTTTTTTGGAGCTTGGACTACTCAGATCTTGGTTTTGCTTGCACACCCACTGAAATCCACCACCATTGGTTCCTACCTAAGCTATTATTACTGCGCACCAAAGCTGACACAGCTTGCTATTGACTGTCGTAGCCGCTGGTTCTCTTTCTCACCCACTGTTTCGTGCTTGGTCTCCAATTTCTTCACTACTTCTGTAAGTCTTGAAGACTTTGATACATTGAGCTTTGGCATTTTTGACCTAAAAATTGCACTGTGGAGCTTGAATTTGTTTGATGTTGTCACTCCCACTGATGTTGACATTTGTAGTGCTTGAGGGTGATTGACCTTTTTTTTTTTTTATTTGCTATCCTGAGAAAAATAGCTCCCTGATTTTGGATTTATTTAAATGGTTTTCTGACTTGAAATTTGCCAAATAAATTTTGGGTTATCGCTTATATAAATTGAACCATTATTGCTGAATTTTGCACTTATAATAGAATATTTGCTACTTGAATTGAGCAATTAACATTGACTTGGGAGGAACATTCCTGTAATTTGCATGACAATCCATTAAATCTTGTTACTGATGAGCAATGTAATATACTTTGGATCTCGGGCCCGAAATTTGCTATTGAACTTCACTCCGTCCAAATTTTGAGCCCCATATAAATTGAACCTTTAGTATGGAACATAGTGACTTTGAGAAATTGACCCGAAAGGGTCAGGGGTAGTCCCGGAGGACGTCCTGCCGCAAAATATTGTCGAGTCTCATGGACCCCCCGAGGTCGTGCCACCTCGACCCGGGTATAGGCTAGTTTAACCGAAGAGTGAATTTATCTCCACTCACCGTCCTCGGGATCGGGTCCTTTGTTCGAACTCCATTACGCCCATGGTTCTGATGCGTAGACCCTGGAAAGCTCCGAGCCTGCAAGTGTTCTGGGACTCATTAACGGAGCGACTTCTAGATTGCGTCTGAATCCGTTCGAAGCCAAGTGTTTCGGACCTCTAGGTTCGTGGATCCGAACCCTTTCGAGTCCGAGTGCCTCGGATCTCTAGGCTTGCCTAATACCCTTTCGAGTCCGGGCCCGAGTAAGTCTCTAAGTTCGTGGATCCGAACCCTTTCGAGGCTTAGAGCCATTCAGCCCGCCTGATGGTGATAAATATGGGCCCGCCATTCTTGGACTTGCGATAAATTCGGACCCACTAATCTTGGGCTATTGGGCCTAAATAATTTAGTGGGCTCAAATTAGCCCCTCTTACACAACCTTTGTTTCAACCTTTGAGGCCACTTGATTCACCAAACAAAAATATATAAATCACATCATCTTATTTAAATCACATCATCTCTCTAACACATCAATTCAAATCCAATCCAAATCCAACCTAATATTTCATAAAAAGTCAAAAAATATACTTATTTAGATAATCCCAAACAACCCCTAAAATTCAATTTTCGTTATACTAGAGTTTTAAAAAGTCAAATTTTGTTAACCTTTTTTGGGTACAGCAAAGGGAAACAGAGAATTTTCTACTGAGGCCACACCTAATCCAAATGGTTCCAGTGAGAGAAATATTCATTTTTCTTCATTTTATATATATATATATATATATAAAACCAGACACAAATGACATTGTGAAATCTAGAATGAATAAGTGTCATTAAGATGCAATTGGAATAATGTGAAATCTATACATAGCATATATATAAAAAGCAACGCATATTTTCAAGCAATGCATAATTTCACAATCTATACACAGATTTAAGCCTAAACTCAAAAAAGGAGAAGACATAAAACAAAGCAACAGAATAGAAAAAATGAAATTCTGTTTAAAGACTTGTCAGCCTCCATCTCCCTCCTCCTCAACCTCGGGCTGCTACTCCCCATTTGGTGATACGAATTGGGATAAGTATGCAAACTTTCCGAGTTTCCAAACAGCCTTCCATAAACCATCTCCCCAAACATCCCCATAGCCGGATAAACAACTCCCATTGCTGTACTCCTTCTAAGACTAAATGATGATGGTGGCGAAGAATCTTCCTGATAATTGGCATGTGGATAAGCAGAATATTGTTGATTCTGATAAGGATTACGGTATGGAAGCTGCTGACCAGGTTGGGACATAGTCACGAGTGCTTTGGTACCGCAAGCGGGTGGTCTTGGTGGTATGGACACACTGAGAGAAGGTGCCTTGCTTTGCAGCTCAGATTCATTTGGGATATGACCACGACCGTAGAGTGGGACCACCGTGTTGTGGGATATTTTGGATTTGCAGACCGGGCACTGAGGGTGCTCATCTGAAGCAAGAGAAGCGCTCTGGAAATGAAACCATTTGTAGATGCAGGGCCAACAGTAGAGATGGCCACAGAGGGTAACTACCGGGTCAGATACAAAGTCCAAGCAGATGTTGCAGTCGAAGCAGCCCGAAATATTTTCAGACTCGGATGCTGTGGCTGAGATGGAATTCCACTCCTGGGCAAAGTACTGATCATAGGCCATGGTTCTTGTGAATCTTATCTTGCAATTTGTTCTAGAGACCACTCTTTTAACCCTGGAGAGACATCGAAAAGTTAAAAAGATTTAATATCCAAGTTTTATAACGTAACTTGGGAACAGAATAAGCTAAACATGGACTAATGGCAGTGCTTATTTTAAAAGGTATTAATCTTGTATACAACAATTTCTCATCTACCAAGGAGGAAAAGAATTAAAACATTGACCGGTGAAAAAGGAACAGATGGGCAAATTTGCAACAGAACTTCTTAACTAATAATATAAAAAAATAAAAATAAAAAAAGTTAACAATTCCCAAAAGTGTCAAATTTATGAAATTGCATATTGAAAAGTAAGGTAAACCAATAACATTATTCAGCTATAGAACATGTATTAGGAGGGAGGGTTTGGCAAGACAGATGCAGAAAACAAAGGCTTAGCAACTTCTAGGCATCTAGCTCATGGATGCTTCTAAAAAGAATGTTATTCTTATCAAACAACACAAATTTTTGTAATTGTTTTCAAGAACATAGGGTATAATAGCACCCAATTTTTCTTTCTGGCATATGGATATCATCAAAATCAAGATATTAGTGGGACAATAAATTAGACAAGAAATTCATCATCTATAAAAATAAAAACAATTGCGCACCGTGAACCTGGTAAGGGTCTGTAAAAGTTGCATATGCTTACATATTTAATCCAGCCAAAGATTGCTAAAGCTCTCTCACTTGTCAAATGGAAATTAAAGGGAATAGGGAAAACTTTTAACAATTTCTTTAGCTCCAATCCTTTAGTAGGTCTAAGTTTCACCAGAAACCAAACAGACGGTAGATAGGAAATTATAGAAAAGAAATGAAATTATTGAGAACTTGATCTTCATACAGAGCAATAAATAGACAAGACAAAGAAATAAAAACAAGTTATCTTCACTAATCCATTCATTTCTGGCAGTGAAAAGCCCTAAAAATCCTTGCAAATAAAACCCAAACAGAAAAATAATGAAAATTTTTGCCCCATTAACAGACTATAAAATCAGATCATCCAAAAAAAAAAAAAAAGTAACACTTTGTTAGTCCAACATGCAATCTTCCAGTCAGGGTTTAAGAAAAGGCTCATTCAATGGTATGTAAAGCTAAATTCAAGGTTCTATCAACTCCAAACCCCTGAATGCATAGATTTCAACAAGAGGTTTTTAGCGAAAAGATTTTATATTCTCGTCAGACTCTCTCGATAAATCATTATGTTTTTTATGGGAGGTCCATAAAAAAAATTTCAATTTTTGTTTTTATTGTCGAAAGTCGCAACTTTTCATAGTTAAGTACAGCCTGATTTTGATATTCAATTTTTCTTTTCCCAGAATCAAAGCAGTTCATTCTATAGTCATCTCTCTGTGAATTTACAGAACATCGGATCGAAAGTCTAAACACAAACGATTCATTCATTTTTTATGATCGACAGAACATTAACAAAATACAAACGACTCATTCATATATATATAGATATATAGATATATAGATATAGATGAACGAAGGAATATGAATACGTACTGGGATTAGCGAAAGGATTGAGGTGTGTAGATGAGCTCTGCAATTGCTCTCAGTTTCAATGCAGATTCTCTCAAGGGAGAGGGAGAGAGAGAGAGAGAGAGGCGTTATGGGGATGGAATTGCTCAGAGAGGCATCTGAGTTAGTTGGGATTTTATAGACCAAGGCCTCGTTTGGCCTGTAATATTTTCAGTATAAAAGTTAAAAAATTGTTAAAAAAGTAAAAAATTCTATAACTAATATTAAAAATTTTACTTTCTCTTCATTTTTGCATATTTATTATTTCATAAAAAAATAAAAAACTATTCTAGATATATTAATTCTTTTATTTCATATTTTAATTAAAAATTTAAAAAGCTATTAAAATATTCTATCTCCAAACCACATCTAAACAAATAAATAAATAAATAAAAAGGAAGAGGGAAGGAGGAGGGTTACAATTCCGCTTCGAAGATGCGACTCCAAAATGTCCGTACGTGGCGGATTTGAGTAGTTTATTGGTGATAGGTACCACTCAGAAATTGCACTTTTATTCTCTCCAGTTCCTATTGCTACTGTACTGCGTGATTATTAAAATAAAAAATAAAAAATAAAAAATAAAAAACCCTAATCACGTACGGTGATTTTTGAAATTAAGGGATGGTTTAGAATGATCTAAATAAGTATATTTTTTGACTTTTTATGAAAAGATGTGCAGAAAAGTAGAGAGATAATATGATGAAAAAAAAATAAAAAGATAAAAAATGTGTACTTATTAATACACTCCAAACAAAGCCTAAATCTTAAGAAGTTAAAGTTTCACAGGTTATTTTTGGGTGGTGTAACGCAATATGGTTACTCAATTATATAATGGTAACTCGTGAATTCGTATACTCACTGTTGGCTAAAATGTTGGCTTATTTTTCCTACGAAGGAAAATATCATAAATGCGAGCGTGCCAGCAAGGATTGAAAAATCCTTACAGATTAAATTCAAGCCAATTATCAAGCGATTGTGTTGACGGTTCTTTTGCCTCAACGAAGAGGACTTCAAGATTGCCAAGTGTAAAGAAAAGAAAAATTAAAAGAAGAATGGGGAACGGAGAAAGATGATTGAGTGAACAATCAAAGTAATAATTACTTACCTCTACTCCTATGCTTCGAAAAGAAAGTGCATAAAATGCTTCGAAATGGAAATGCTGAAAATAAATGCTTCGAAATATAAATCTATGTTAAACTACTCCTAAGATAAGGAAAATAACAAGAAATATTGAAATCAAGTGTCTTTGATTTAAGTTCTGGATCCTTTACAATGTAGCCATTAATGGCTATTTATAGAAGAAAAAATACAGCAATAACTACTTAGTAACTACCCATTTCTTCCATCTTCATTCTTGTCTTGCCATGTGTCATTCCACTCATCCACTTTGTCCTCCCACTCATCCACTTTGTCCTTCATATTCTCCATTATCTCTATAACTTCTTTTAACTTCCTAATGAATAAGAGGATGCCACGTGTCCTGCAATTATATAAATAATAAATAATAATAAAAATTGCAGATTTATGGTGTTAACACTCACACTTCTGACACTAGATATATAGTTTACCTAGGCTTGCAAGTAGTGACGGAACCAGAAAAATAATTTATAAGGGACACTTATTAATAAAATTTTAATTTTTTTTCTCATAATCAATAACAATAGATAATAATTTTTAAATTAATATTAAGCACAAAATATTAAATATTTAATATGAAAGTTTGTAATTTTTTGTTTTAACAATTGACCTTGTGAAAAATCAGAATTAGAAATATATGATATTATTTATAACTAGTGTATTATATGTCATGCAAAAAAGTCTTGTATGTCTTATAATATATTATATAATAATATATAAATAATGGTGATACCACATTATCATTGATATATGGTATTGTTAGAAATTGGGCACCCATGTGGTATGACCCTTAGAACTTTTTGAACCTGAACCTTTTGAACCTTATCCAAATGGGTTTTGAATTTGAATTCAAACCTATTTGGATAGCCACTCAGGATATATATCTATCATATCATGATATAGATAGATGATATAGATATCAGATATTATCTCATATAACAAATATGGATAAATGAGATAAATAGATTATATATCTGATATATGGGATATGGGTGATTGTGTAGAAAAATAACGTATGTTTGAGTTTTTTTCCATATACTGACTCTCTCCAAAAAATAACGATCAAAGCCATTTGCACTGTGGTTTGTGTGGGTGATATTCACTATTGTAATATCACCCCATTGCTGGGTTGATTGACCAGATTCAGGAAGCACGTGATTTATCCATGAGATCCTTCAATTCAGACTTTGTTTGAAAGGTATGATCATAATTTTTATTCCGCTGCGTTATACTTTGTTTACATTGGTATCGGAGCCATAAATATGGGTATTTTCGTGCTTATTTTTATGCATTAAAATATGTGTATATTTTTTTATATAAATATATATACATGATATATGCATGAATATTAATGGAGGAGGAAGATGAAGTGCACGGTTTTTTGCATTTTAACTCCATTAGATTGAGAGAGTGATATACCTCATTTTTATGTTGTTTAAATGTCATTTTTAATGCCATAAATGTTTTTATTGTGAAAAATGGAGTCCGACAGTACAAAAATCGGACCAGAAAACACCGTGGAAGGCGACGCGTGGTCTGCACGCGCCACCTGAAGCCGAGCCGCGCCACGTGTGCGACACACGCGCGCCATGCGCCGCACCGCGTTGAGCCGACTCGCGCCGAGTTGCGCTGAGCGGCGGCCAGCCGAGCCGAGCCGAGCCGTTTTTTCCGCGCTGGCTTGACTCTAAGGCTCTGTTTGTTTTTTTTTAATTCTAAATTGCGTTAATTGGCCATAATTTATTCGGTATAGCTTTGTTTTAAGCATGGTTGGTAGCGTTAGACTCGGAATTAAATTTTATATCTTCTGTAAAATTGTGAAAATTTTATAAAAATAAAAAAATATTTTTCCTGAAATAATAATGCATTATTTTTGTTTTAAAATGCATCTGGTGTTGCATGATTAAGTTTCTGGGGCTGAATTTTTTTTTGTAGACTACTGTTATGGTTTACTATTTACTGGTATAGTTGTAGTATTTTACCATATTCTGGAATATTTATTTCTAATTTTATGTGTGTTTTTTAGTTATTTAAAATTCCAGAAAAATTCAAAAAAATTTCAAAAAATTTCAAGATGATGTACTTTCTGTTATGGCATAATTTGAATATTTAATACAGCATATTATTTTTTTTAGAGTTTCTAATATGTTGTAATTAGAAAAGCATGATTAGTTATTTATTTATTTATTTGAATTCCATTATTAAATGAATATAGCATGAGTTATTTGTAAATTTACATTAAGATGCTATTGTATGGAATTTATCATGCTTTTGACATGCCATAGTCAGTGGGAGGTTATTCGGTTGAGAGAAATCTTTGTAGATTAACTCCCGAAAACTAATATTTTGCACATAAATTAAATTGAATTTTGGATAATTGTTACCTGTGGCCCAAGAGATGATTACGAGCTTAGTAGATTTTCGATCTTGCGACTTGTGTAATATTGTCACTATTTAATTTAGATTTTTGTGGCAAAATTATATTATGCTAATCAAATTAATCCCAATGCAAATTTCTCTCTAAATTGACTTAGCTTATGGAAGTTAATTGGTTGACCTAGACTTCATAAAGATGTTCAAATGTGAACAATGTAATCCCATTCTTTAGATGAGCAAAAGTCTTGGAGACTTTAGGTCAAGTCTTAATGGAGCCAAAGTAAGGAAACATGACTCAAAGTCGCCGTGGTTTTGTTGCCTTGTTTGGCATAATAAAAACAAATGTGTGCACTATGGTTAGCAGCACGCTACGTAGTTTTGGTTGGCTAGTTTTGGAGTTATGAAATTAGTAAGCCCTCAATAGATCTGTATATGATCTTGACTATTGAGCTGCGCGGATTGACTTTGTAATTTGACTTGTAAATAATGTTACATCATTGGATGAAGTAACATTCAAGAGTCACGTCATCCAAGAAATGCGAGCTTAAATAAATTAGTCATCAAGTGTAAGACAAGTAGCCAATATGAGCAGTATTTTGCTCTCTACCCAATTATTGGGAATGGATTGAGCAAAAAATTTCATGCACTATAATAGTGTGCGTTGAAATATCACGTGAAGTGAAAAGATTAGTGCTTAGTAGCTGCAAAATCTATTAGCATTGCCGACTTGTCTTAGTCTGGACACTTTCTGTTTCCACACTTGAGTGTGAGACATAAGGAGGGGCTTCTTGGTATGATTCCTTAGCTAGGCTAACGTTTTGAATAACGTTTACCACTAAGCGCAAACGTTGCAGCATAGTAATGAAAAGGTAAAGGCTAACAAGGTTGTTATGACTCTAAGAATTTGACGCATCGCTTGTAAGAGCATTGTGTTGAATTAAACTTTTTGGCCTAATTCGCGCTTAAGTTACTTTAGGAGCTGTCATAGTTGATAGCTTATCCTCTCCTTCTTGTGGATAGTAGAATTAATTGCAAGTAATTATGAAGCGAGAAACAGAGATGGCAAAAGGAGTATCGTCATCTTTTAACTAGATGCAGTAAAGTGTATGGAGAATAAAATTGACTTGAAGGTGCAGGGGATTAGCACTTACTAGTTAAATTTGCGACTTAAGCGCACTTGATATCTCCATGACATCCTTTTTATGATCTAGTGAATATGACTTAGTCGTGACTCATTACCTAGTTGGGCCTAAACCTTTAAAACTTGTCTTCGAGAACTCGCACATTAAGATGATTGGAATTAGTTTATGACATTGGTCATGAACCAGTGGCTTATCATACTTAATCACATTAATGAGATAATGACACGATGGTTTGAGTAGGCCTTCTCGGGCCCACTCGCTTATGACATCCTGCTCTCAATGAATGTGTAACTTTGTTCGCAATGGGTGCGCACAAGTAAGTAGGAAAGCCGTAGAAGGACATTTGTATTGGCGCATTTAGTCCACTATGATATTTGTGACTAGATATGTGTGAGGGTATGATAGCTAAGCCTCAATCTCGACACATTTATAGATTACGATACGCATCTGAGTCAAGACTATTTGATCTCCCATAAGTCAAAAATCCTTTAAGGG